CTAAAATATGGTTAAGATATGTGGATGATACTTTTGTAGTGCTAAAACAAGATCTACACAGTTCATTCCTGGAGGAAATAAACAACCTATATTCCAGTATCCAGTTAACATCGAAAGCAGAATCAGACATCGGAGAACTACCATTTCTAGACTGCCTAGTTAACAAGAGGAAAACCGGTCATTTTATTACATGTATATTCAGGAAGAAAATCCACTCCAAGAAATATTTAGACTTCGGATCATCACACCCCATCAGCGCAAAGGTATCAGCTGTTTCAAGTCTTCTTAGACAAGCACACTTCCTGATAACAGATGAGCAAGAAGAAGAAATATCAAACAATACTGAGACCCTTAAACAAAACAGCTACCCAAAGAACTTCATCAACAAAATCAACACTGACATCAAACATGGTCGAAAACGCATTTCGCAGTTGTCATTCCATACAGAGCGGAGAAATCAGACGATATCAGAAGAATACTCAATAGGCTCGACATCAGAGTTTTCTTCGAAACATCAGACACACTACGAAACAACCTTGGCTATATATTGTGTCTATACAATAAACTGCTTAGAATGTGATGCGATATACATCGGACAAACATCTAGAGACATAAAAATCAGAAGAAATGAACACCGTAGAGCATTTAACCAACCACCAAGAAATCTATTTGAACTAGGAAATTACAATTCTAAGATTATAAATCAAGCTAACTTATTTGTATCCTACGTAATCTTACTTGCTCCTTCTATTCTACTTAATCGTCATTATTTCATAGATTTCTTGATTATGTAATAACCTGTTGTCAATATCTATTTGTTAATTGTTTTGATGACTCAATCTCTTATTTTCACCCACCCACCCGCTCCCCACATATACGTAAAGCTGATAATTACTATGGACTGAAACAACTGCATGATCGGTACAATCCTAATGTAAAAGAAAGCATACATATTAGGGTAGAGCCAATGACGAGGGACTAATTGGAAAGGAATGAATATTTCTTCGCTCAGTTTGATGTTTTTTACAAAAGGTTTCACCAATCTATTGCCAATAAGTTCGTTAACAATGATTAGTTAACATTAACATGTGATAATTGATTAACAAAATTAATACACACAATTAAAAGGTAGAAATGGTTGCAACACATACGCTGCGTAATGCATAATTTTGGAAAAATGAAGAGTAATTAAGGAATAAGCAAGTCTTCAAGCTGATTACTCAATTGGCGATAAAGATGGAGTCAGAACAATAAAAAACGATCAGGACAACGGTCACCTTTAATTAACGATGAAGCAGTTATAAGAATAATTAAATAGTTTGGATAATTATAATTTTTAAAAGGCTTAGGGGTAGGGCGAAGTAGTCCGGTTTAAAAACTCATATAACGATGGACAATCTAAGGAAACCGCCTGTATGAATTTCTTCTAAACATACAGGCTTGGCTTCTTCATGTGAATTCTGATTGCTTCAAATGTATGTGGAAGACGAACTCGTACAACAAAATTAATATTAGTTAGAATACTATAAATAACTTCAAATGCTGTATTAACATCATCAACTTTATCCTGACTGTCTACAAGGTGTGCGAAATCACATCTACAACTAGATCTTGTTTTTTCCTTGTTTAATCATGCAGGATGATGTCCCGCATTACGATGATGAAGCTGTGTGGCTGTACGCCCCACATAGCTAGCTCCGAAGACGAAGTCAGACGGGTAGATGCGCGTAGAGGAGGAGAAGTCAGTCAGTTTGTCCTTACTTCTCGAATGTAAAACTAGAGTAATTGTGAATAGACAGTGTACCCCTTCTACACTGAATACTCTTTTAACTGCATTCTCCGGGCACTGTTACTATTTAGCTGGTGTCATCGCCGAAGAACTACATTATTATGAATAAGGGCAGCGTTCTCAGTGGCATGGATGACTCAATGCATAACTTCAGTCTGACGAGTTCACTTAAGCACTGAAGGTCAGAAACTAATGTTGAGTGATACACATTATTCTAAAGGTTTCTGTAATTCCCAATGAATGAAATCGAAATGATCAAAAGAAAACAACGCCATAGAGCATCAAACCAGCCACCGAGAAATCTAGTTGAAATAGAAAAGCTTGAAAAATTACCAGCCATAGGTCTACATGTTATAGAATCAAGTCACAAAATTGATCCTGACAATATTGAATCCACAAAAGCATTTCAGGAATCACAAATAGCGTCTAATACCATCAGAAGGACTCCATATCAAGTGGAATCCAATTTGTCTGATTAGGAATAATGAACTAAAATAGAATTTGACTCGATTCCAACAACCCCCTCCCATGAATTAACAAAATCGACACAAATGTGATAAGCGATTTCATTATCTACACACGCTGCTTTTATAGTTTTATACGCTTATCAAATCCAACAATCTACACATGGTTTTGTGATCTTTACCAAGTGGCCAACTTGACTACGTAAAAATGACCCTATGCTGAGCAACGATGATTAAGTTGTTGAATATATATAAGCTGAGATTTTGTAAATTCTGGCTTAACAACACTCTGATGAAGCTAGTAGCATTAAACGGAGAAACGTCAGCAAAAACAACAATATTGTTTCGTTTTTCACTCATTGAATGCGAAATATAAAAAACCTTTATGATAATGAATATCGTATACCCAATGCCCAAATTATTTTTAATCTATTAAAAGTGAACTTAGTTTGGACATATATATACATATAGGTTGAGTGATACATGCTTTAGGCTAATAATTTTGAAGAATTATTTACCGCTATACACTTGGCAGAGATTTACTGTACACCTGGAACAAAGAAATGCTCTATATGATGTTTATTTAGAAATGTTATTATACTGTTAGGACAGTTTCTTTAGAATGTATTATTTTGTCATTAAAGACGAAAATACAAAAATTGGCATAATAATCCATCTGAACATCATAGTTCTTAATATAAGCCTCAGTAACCAACCAGATAGAATAGGATTATTAACTGAACATAAGGGCACAAACCGATTCAAAGGGAGAAAACTCGTGAAAACTACATCAAACTGACTTTATGGTGAAGCTAAAATCAGTATCCAGTTGATAAGAACAACCAAACCATCACATAGTAGTGAGATAATAACACCCACCTACATCGCTTTAGTATCAAGTCCTAATTAGCTCGATCGATTAATCTCTACTTTACATTCGATATTATCAAGAAAGTTTTTTGTCTATAAAAACTGGCTCTGTAGTTTCTTTGTAACAGTATCTAACACCGACAACTTTCAATAACATTTTTCATAACTAACCCAGTAGTTGTAGAAACGATGCAACAGTGTGTGATGTGGACTAGGATTATGTACTGTACTACATATGTTTATACCTGTGAAAAAAGCGATGAGAGTCGAATTCTATACCAGTAAAGCCGAACTAGTCATGTAAACATAAACAGGAGTCTTAGGACGATGGTCTTTCAAGGTAAGAAGCATAGAATGTGTGAATAACTACGCTATAACAATAAAGATACCGGTGTAGCTGAAGTATCCAGAAGCTCCACAACCATCTGTAGTACTAATTTTTAAAGTCATCAAATCTTCATGCTAATTATACAACATCTTATGCAATAGGCACCTGCTGTTTTAGAACACTAAATCAATTCTCCATCGGTTGAGCAAGTTACACTAAAACGGACTACGCAGGTGCCATACACTGACAAAACTAAGAACCTTTTGGACAAAAATATGGGCATATATGACATGGCTCACTTTCGGTAAATGTACCATTAGGATGAAGGACATATACGTAACAAATACTGGTACTGGACAAAACACACCGGTTAAACGTGATGAGAATTCGACTTATTTCAAAGTGCTGGAACGAGCTCCTTGTTGGTTAGATATAAATGAGCCAAATCCCTACTACCAGTTCGCAACCATACTGAACTGGGGACTGACGAAAACTCACCACGGGGACAGAAACCTTCTGTGGTATTTGCAAACTATTGCTATCTTTAGGAGACCCAAGGTACATTGTTCCCCACCGAAGGGCATACACATCATGCAGCAGTTTGTGGCCATTCTTCATACCTGCTGATTGTAGGGAGTATGAAAATATCGGCTATCTTTTTCACCACAGCTGCACTCTATCACTTGGTTGTCATTAGTGAAATACCAAGGCAAATTATAACGTCAGGTGCAGTGTTAGTCAATGACAGGTTGATAGATGAGGTTCTAAAGCTCAATCGAATAAGGTGGCTGAGACACGCGCAACGAATGGGAAACTGATTTAGGTGGCAAGTTAGTCTGAAGGATGGTTGGGTTGTAAAAGCGAGGAATGATAAGATCAAAACATAGCACCGAACCACGTACGAACACGTAGATAACCTTACTACGATCTTCAACGTGCTAACAAAATTCGACAAAAGAGTGCCCACAACCACACACATGTTCATATCCTCCCACATTGTAAACGTTATTACCAATATTCATTTAAAAATTCTCCCTTTCGTATATCGTTGTCCATTTGTTTCATTTCTTTTTACTACCTAAGCACTTCCCTAAGATGTAACAACTCGGACTGATTAAACTCTGTAGAAGCACTAAACTATCTAGTTCGACAAAATTTAGATAACACTATGAAAGCGTAGAAGACTACTTGAGGAACAGTGACCTGAATTGTTTCTCTGAAATTACCCGTCAAAATTACATCTTATTCTCCGACTAATTCTATTAAAAATAAACCATTTGTCAGGTTTCATCATACAACAAACAAAGCCTAGAAAGTAGCAATTCAGTCGCATGTGTGAAGCAAGTATACTAGTGACCTTTGCCCACGCATTCAAAACATCTTGGACTGAAATCCAAAACATAATAACTAACAGGCAGAGGGAAATTCCAACTGACAGACTCTAATCTAATGGCAGGACTTATTACGAACAACGTTTGCCACACTATGTTAACACACTACAGTATTTCGGAAGACAATAAGATAGTTATAGTCTGAAAATTGTATTAAACTAATTTCCACTTCTGTTTTCCAAAACTCGTTCTTGATAAGACCTAACCTAAAATATGATTATTTGATGAATTGTATTACCACCTTACCATTTTTTGTACATATTCCGTCTGAGATTTAGCCTGCTGTGTGTCCAAATTGCAAGACACATTGCCCTCTTTATAAGGCGGACTGATGATCGTGTGCTCCATCACTACAACATTTGGTTTGTCCCAGACAACACTGAAAAACCTGATTTTTAAGTTCGAACACAATGTAAAAGGTACGTTTCGAGGTATTCAGCTAGTTCACGAGCTTCGGTTGGAACATCGTGGCCGTAGAATTTTAACTTCTCTTGTTGAATTCGCTCATTAGCCCGTATACGTTCGACAATCTAAAAACAATTGAAATATACATAATCCTAGATACAAAATACCTTAGTAATACTTAATTCAGGGCATGGTGGTGGTGATCCTTTGCTGATGCTTTTCAAATCTCTCAAATACTCAGCCTTTAGAATCAGTATATCACACGTGTCTGGATGATCATTGCTGGATGCTTTTTCTAAAATATCGTGAACACCGATTATTTTACTACTAAATAGAGAATTACGCAGTACAATTAACTTTTTGGGAACGTCTATACAAAGAACATCCCCCTTAATAAATGTATCCGAACAGTAGGCCGTTATAGTCGACCCAGGTTCAGGAAGGTTATCAATGGTCATTGTAGCCAATCAGTTTACAATCTGCGCTACGAAAGGTACAAATTACAATGAGTTATAAATGAAGCAGAGAAGTTTATTTCCTCTCTTTTTATAAGTGATGGTAACGGCTGGATGCTAATCACCAATAGACTTTTTCGTGTTGTCTACTTCTCCATCCGGATTTAAGTATTTGAATCTCGATAATTTCATTGAGGATACGTTCACGTTGCAAGAGGACCTCAACAAACTGTCAGAGTGGTCTGTTGAATGGATGCTCCCGATCAATGTGGCAAAATGTGCAACCATGCGCACTGGACAATCAAGCACAAGCCCCTACGAATTAGAGGGAATAAGACTTCCATCAGTTCAGACTCACTTGGACTTAGGTGTCATAGTTAACCACGACTTAAAAACTACAGCGCACTGTCGCGCGGTGGCTGCACGTAGTTTCAGGTCGTTGTGGGCGATTCGCAGAGCCTTTACAAGAATTACCAGAGATATGTTCACCTCCTTATATACATCTCTGGTTAGGTCAAGACTGGAAAACTGCATTCTCTCTTTTCCTTCCCACCGTGTCGGAACTCCTTAGAGGACATAGCAGGAAAGTTCAAAAGCCAAGGAGAAATCATGTTGCTATTGGGTACTGGTTTTCACATCGAGTCATAAACTCTTGGAACCGACTCCCAGAAGAAGTGGTGCCTGCAACCTCAACTGATTCGTTCAAGAAGGGTTTGGAAAACCACAGAAATCTACTAGAAAAGGATTAACATAGGCTCCAAGCCTTCTATCCTCAAGCAATAAATCTGAATCTGAAATCTGAATATTTGCACTCAAAGTGAATTTACTTTTATTGTTGGGGGAATGAGGAAATATTCGCTTGTTTTAGAGTTCCTGGTTGTGATTCGTACTGACAAGAATTCATCCCGTCGCATAAGGACTGAGAGATACTCCATAATAATCACAGGCCTCGTAGGTAAACCTTATCTTCATGCAGCCCTGAAATATTTTTTCGGGAATATTAATGCAACCAGCCCAATGGAAGCCTGTAGGCAATCATATACCTGGCATTCGGAAACCTTGAGTGTATAGATCCTCTGAATTCTTCTTTCGTCCTTTTCAACGGGAATTAGATTTTTTAGACTCACTACATTTTCTCGAATCTTCACGCAACTTTGTATGGCTTGTCCACGAGTAAAAGCATAGAACTTGAGAGTGCCAAAACTGTAAGTTACAAGAATACTTGTCACAAATAGAACTAGTGAATGTCCTCAAAATGCCGGCGAATTATTGGAACCCTAGTAGCAAATCAATTAATTCACATGTGTTCATCCTTCCTCCGACGCTGAGGTGTGAAATTTAGAAACGTTCTGTTTACTCTCAACATTTTTTATTTTTTTTACTCTTAGCATCCATTTAGTTGAATTTGTGGGGTATTGGTTGTTGATTATGATAAGGGTTTTCCCAGTGAATGAAAAACAGAATGATACTGTTGTTTCTGATGTCATTTCGCTATATAATGCCACTAATAGCTTTGTCGATGTATTATTAAACCAGGATTTACAAATCCCTACTCTATATATGACAACTTAATCATCGTTCCTCAGTATGGGGGCGATTTTGCGTTGACAAATTGTTTGTTATTTGAAGATGAATACAACTGGAGGTATCATTTGGCCAGCAACAGGACTGGTCAGTTTCGGAATGAGGCAACGAGGGGAGTAGTTCGCCAAAAGACTTCAACTTAATTACAGAGTAATGCCCCTTCCAGTTCACATATTATTCCAGAGCATTTTCAGCCTCATGATAGCCATTACGCGCGCGCTTTTCGACTACTGCGTTACTTTTCCCTTATTTATAAAAACTCTCGTTTCTGTAAAATTTCATGCCAAGAGTTTGTGGAAACTATCACAATTATTAACCTTTCGAACACTAAATCAAAGGAAACAATCTTATTGACAGATAATACATATAACTAACTATTTGGATTTGTGGAATTTTTAAATATAAACACATCTATAATTGTATCTATTGTTAGATTTACATGTTCAAGTTGCTCCAAGACAGTGAGTTTATGGTTGAGATATCATTTTAGTTAACTGTGCTGAACTATATTGCATGTTGTTTTATTGTATCGTTGTTTTCGCTTTTTGCCCTTTTTCTGTGAACTGTTTTCCTTTTGCTGGTGGTGTTCTCATTGTTTTGTCCGTTATTTTCCGATTTTGAGGGAGCAACCCAAAAAGTCGCTTATCTCTAAACTTTATCTTAACGTAACAATTCCTTTCTCAGGCGTGAGGCTAACAACCCCACCCTGTAAACAAATTGCTACAGAACCTTCAGCAAAATGAACCTCTTTGCACCAAAAGAAAAGGTCTGTGTGGGGACATGGAACGTCTGCAATATGTACGAGGCTGGGAAAGCTGCCCAGATCGCAAATGAGATGAAAAGATACGGAATACGAGTGCCGGGAATATGTGAAAGCAGATGGAATGGGAGTGGACTCACCAAATTGTCAACGGGTGAGTCAGTGATCTACTCCGGTCACCCAGAAGATAACCACACGCACACCAAGGGCGTGGCTATCATGATGTCACCAACGGCAGCGAAAGCCCTGATGCAATGAGAGGCGATTTCTTCCAGGATAATGACCGCCAGATTCAACTCCAAAGGAAGGAAAGTGTCAATCATACAATGCTATGCACCCACAAACAACGCAGACCTCGAAAAGAAAGAAGATTTCTACAAACAACCACGGGCAACAATGGACAATACTCCAGCTGGTGACATTAAAATACTAATGGGAGACATGAGCGCCAAACTGGGACCAGACAACACAGGAGGAGAACTCATCATGGGTAGGGAAGCTCTCGGAGAAATGACTGAAAACGGAGAACTCTTCGCCGACTTCTGCGCCTTCAACGAACTAGTGATTGGTGGCAGTGTATACAAACACAAAGATATCCACAAGGCTACATGGGTGTCACAGGATGGGCAAACCAAAAACCAAATCGACTTCATCTCAATCTCAAGGAAGTGGAGACGCAGCATACTGGACACAAAAGCAAGAAGAGGAGCAGACGTTGGCTCAGACCACCATCTCGTACAAGGGACAATCCAAATCAAATTAAAAGCTTTCAGGGAATCAGGAGCTGCAGATAGACCACAAGCCAAGTTCAACACTCAAAAACTGAAGGACCAGGCTACAAAGGCCATCTTCATTGCAAGCATAAGGGAAAAAGCCGAGACACAAATCAACACCAGCGAAAAGGTCAGCGTTGAAAAGCACTGGAACAAATTGAAAACGGTGTGGAGTCAAACCTGCATAGAAGTTCTAGGCAGAAAGAAGAGGCAGGAAAAGCAGTGGCTTACTACGGACACTTGGAAACTAATAGAAGAGAGAAGGGCAGTGAAACAAAAGATTATCCAGTGCACTAACGAGCAACAAAGACAAGAGCTGAATGCAAGCTACAATACACTGAACAAAAGAGTGAAGAAGAGTGCCAGGGAAGACAAAAGAAAATATTATGAAACCATGGCAAACGAAGCAGAACAAGCTGCAGGCAAAGGAGACCTCGCCACACTCTACCAAACAACTAGGAACCTTTCGGGCAAACGTTCGACACAGATTAAGCCAATAAAGGACGACAATGGAAAGTCAATCACCAAAGAGGTGGAACAGAGAAAACACTGGGCTGAACACTTCAAAACCACTGAACTTGAACTGTTGTGCTACAGATGTTCAATTTCTGCGTGAATCATTTTTCCTTAATATTTTGGAAATTAGCCGCTTTCCTCACATTATCCAGTTATCCATAGTCAACAAGGATTGTATTGTACCAACTGGAACAACATATAGCATTCAATCGTGAAATCTACATCAAGAATCTTCGGATACCCTATCTAACCCCGTGGAACTCAGGACTTTATCCACAGCAAACTCTGTAAAGGAAAGTCTGACTTTTTATTTTTGCAATATACATCTGTTTATCGTTGTTGTTTTGATACTTCGATAATACAGCTATCTTATTTTTATATCCTCCGTGCGTTATTCCGTCTAGTGAAATACCTGATCATGGCATGCAACAGACATTTTTGCAGGCACTGGCTAATGTTAGCCAAGCATTATATAACGATATTGATGCTGACACTGAAATGGTGGACATAGATGAGTCAACGGGAAATAATGTTGAAATACATCGTTTTCACACTGACGCAAAAGTCAAGACACCGAAACCATCAAAACCCATCCCACTGGTGGTCCAACCATTGCCTTATAAGTCAGTTACTCCTCAGTCTGACAATCCACACTCTGTGAAGCACCAGTCGAATGTAGCCACCCAAGTTGGCAAGTTTTCTAGGCGTTATGACAAACGTCCCATTTCCATTAAGAAAACTAAAGCTCATGAGGTGTCCAAGCCACAGAAACCCTACATAGCATGTGCTGGCTGCCCTGTTAGCCATCATCAGCCAGTTGATCATAAGATAGGGAAAAAGAAGTAAATAAATTAAATACTAAACCCGGAGCAAGAAAGCCTTTGATATGAAAGAGACGAAAGCACCTGTAGGCCTTCTTTGTAAGAGAAAGTCAAATATGGTAGACGAAGCTCCTAGGGGTAGGCCTAATTGGTGCCAAGTGGAAAGCCAATTTTATCGAATCCCTAATTCTAGACAAACAGCACAGCAAGGTAGTAGGTATTGTTCTGCACATCCACTACGTAAACCCCTTGTCAACCAGCCCACTTCTAATATTCTGTCGACTGAAAGTTATAGAAAATACCCCAAACATCGGCCACAGACCACATTTAGCAAGCCAACAGAACCCATTCATATATCTTATGTGTCTAGTGGGGAGCATGTGCCGATTTCTGCACAAAACTTGCCATGGTCTGATGAATACCAGAAACAGATACCAACACTTCATTCTTATACTGGCAACAAATTACCGAATACACATATCGGTTATACCTTAGGGCAGGATTTTCACCAGCGTCAGTTAACAGAAACACCTGGAATCATGCATATAG